TATGCCCACTCCCTGGCACTAACAGACGAGGGGTTGCTTTACGCTTGGGGTGCCAACACATATGGACAACTGGGCACCGGCAACAAGAGCAACCAGCTGAGCCCAGTTCAGATCATGGCTGAGAAAGAGAGGTCAGTGAGACCATCACCACAGAGATGATAAACTCCCTTCTCACTGTCTTATACAATGCTCAGTTCTCTCCTCTGGCTTCTTTGACAGAATCGTGGAGATTGCTGCTTGTCACTCCACGCACACATCAGCTGCTAAAACCCAGAGTGGTCAGGTGTACATGTGGGGCCAGTGCAGGGGCCAGTCTATAGTACTGCCTCACCTCACACACTTTACCTGCACCGACGATGTCTTTGCATGCTTCGCCACCCCCTCAGTTATGTGGAGGCTTCTTACGATGGGTAAGACAAGGGGTCTCGTGCCCAGTGATGGTGTTGTAATTAAATGACCATTCAAGGTTTCTGTCACTTTGACTATTTTCCAGAGCCGTTTTGTGTTCATATTCAAAGATGCGTGGTAACTATGGTTCTGAGAATTCCTGGATACCTGCCAGTGGCAGTAAACAATACGGACAAAGACAAGGCATAAAAACCCTGTGGTATCGTACATTTGGCCTCCTAGAATTTGGATGATTCATACTAGTCGTGCCACAAAGAACCCACCTACCGGTCAACTGCAAAAGCCAACGCTAGAATAGTTGATGCTAGCCTGGACCCAGAAGCAAGTTATGGCAATAAAACCTTGAAACAGTGCAGGGTGCTCTCGTGGACACTGTCGAATAGTTCTCCATTAGTGACACCCCCCTTTATTGTGGCCATCTTCCCAAACTGGATACAACAAATTGGACCTTTTCTTCAATTCGAATATGGGAGAGGATAGTATATGACAACATGCAAGACAAATATGCCGAAAACCTACAGATAGTAAAGGAGAGGTAGGATAGCTTGTAAACCACAGCCTTAGAGGGCAACATTGCTCTCTGATCGTAAAGTCAGAATTGACAAACACCGAATGACACAGAATGTGCTTACCTCCTTTGGATCTGCAAGCAAAATACAGAACCGAAACAGATCTATGGAGCGATTAAACGGCAAGTAGATCAGAGAGGCTGAATGTAGGCCACTATGCATGCACGTGTTTATATGAGAGATCTCCACCTGCACAGAGCACAAGGAGACATGGCAGCCAGGAAGGAATGAAACAGAACTTTGTTACCCGTCAGGATATAGCATGTATATAAAAAAAAACAAGACTGGCAGTGAAAAATAGTTCGGTATATAATTTTACTTCAAGACCAGAGTAACAAAGTCCTTCACAAAAGAAATGCTACAAAGCATTTGAATATATGTTAACTAAATGAAATTAGTTTGTTAGTTAGTAAAGGCTGTGGTCATCTGCCTGTGCAGGGTTTATTTCAGCCTAACTGTCCAGTGGCTCCTCTATTTTACTCTAAATCAACAATACTTGTCTGTGTTTAAAAAAACAACAACCCTGAAAAGATAGCACTTTGTTTACGTGTCCATTATATGCAAGGGTTTCTAATAATTTCCTAACATTTTCTTGAGGGTTTCCTGGTAAGAACAATGTAATCGGGTACTCATTTTCGGGACAATAGTGTTGAAGTTCTTATTTTAATTTGTTTTGCTAAGTTTAAAGGCAGTTGTTCCTTTCCAGAGAAATTCCTTGAAAAAAAACCCACTCCATTTATACCCAAATAAATATTTATTCATTATTCATTTACAGGCTTTTTTCACAGCAGACATTTTTAAGTGTCATAGTAGGAAAAGCACAGGTTTACGTATAACAATAACAATGTCTGTTCTATTCAAGTGTCCCAGTGTCCCACTGTTAGGACTTACTGACAGTGTCAGTGATAACAGGACCCTCAAACTGAAGCAGCTAAATGGAATTCAGCAATCATTAATTTTATTATTTACATGTGTTTTTTGTCAAAATGTCTGTGGAAAAGGTCTATAATTGGAAACTGCATTCTTCCAGAACTTTTAAACTTACCTGATGTGCACCAATTAAAGACAATCTTGGCATTTAATTGGCACTCCCTCAATTTGACCTATAATTAGCACCAAAATAAATCATTCTTTCCAGGAAACTGACTTTAGTAAAATAAAACCTCAGCAAAAATACATAAGAAAACTATAGTTGAAACCACTGCTACAGTTTTTATTCTTTTTTTTTTTTATCTTCCTAATGCCAGAGCTTGTGTGTGGTGTGCATGCATGGCTGTGCGTTCTCTCTCCAGAGCACGATGACTTCTTGACCGTGGCTCAGTCTCTGAAGAAAGAGTTTGACAACCCAGAGACGGCTGACCTCAAGTTTTGCGTTGACGGCAAATATATCTACATCCACAAAGCTATTCTCAAAATCAGGTCAGGGATTTTGTCTCACAGCTGTCAGGTTAAGCCATGATACTGTAGAATATAAATAATAGAAAAATAGATAACATCTGTATCTGTTCTGAAACAAACTGTTGTGCAGGTGTGAGCACTTCAGATCCATGTTCCAGTCTCACTGGAATGAAGACATGAAGGAGGTGATTGAGATAGACCAGTTCTCCTACCCAGTGTACCGCTCCTTCCTAGAGTTCCTCTACACGGACAATGTGGAGCTGCCTCCTGAGGATGCTATTGGTCAGAACAACACACACACACACACACATGTTACACTGACAGTCTGTGTGTTAATTGTTAATACATAGTGTTACCGTCTCTGCTCTCTCAGGGCTGCTGGACCTGGCCACGTCGTATTGTGAGAACCGCCTGAAGCGTCTGTGTCAACATATTATAAAGAGGGGAATCACCGTTGAAAACGCCTTCTCTCTGCTTTCTGCTGCTGTGCGCTACGATGCAGAGGTCAGTCAGGCCAACTATCATCTGTGTATGTGTTTTAGTACAGAGAGAGGAAGACTTGATCCGTGACCACACAAATAGGGCCCTCAGATCTACTCGTAGTATCTCATACATTTCTTGAAGAACATCTGACCAAAATGAACAACAATTAACTTTAACTAACTAATTAACTTGTTTGTGTTCTAACCTTTGTCACTCAGGACCTGGAAGAGTTCTGCTTTAAGTTCTGTGTGAATCACCTCACTGAGGTGACCCAGACCGCTGCTTTCTGGCAGATTGACGGCAATCTGCTCAAAGATTTCATTTGTCGGGCCAGCCGCTGTGGAGCCTTCAAAAACTGACTTCAGCCCCAGATAATTACAGACACAGATGCAGAGGCTCCGGGAGTGACTTCTAAAAGGACTTCCGTCACTCCCAGTCGGCTCCACGCACCTTCACTGACGGTTGGTTATACATAGGAAATCTTTAGATCACCACCATTACTCTCGAATCTGATATTCATCTCATTCCAGATTAGAGCTAGTGTGTCCATTATGTGAGCTGTACATACCGGAATTACAAGGCTGAGTCGACAGGTAGCAGCATCCTTACACAGTCCAGTTAGAGTGACTCTTTGCCACAGTGCCTGACTGCCTGTTCATTTACACATATTGTTGTAAAGCAGGAGCTGAAGTGCATTGAGAGGCATACTATTGCTTGATCAAGTTTTTGATTCTATTATCTTGAAAGATTCTTGCCAGTCGTCTGATATCACTTTACTTTTTCTATTATTCTGTGTAATTGACCAAGTTACTTATTTAGTGTTTGCACTTATTTTGAAACATTTTGAATATGATTCTGTTCCTCTTCACTGGAATCACATCATAGTTTGGATGTGCCATCTGGAATCATGGTTTTCAGGTTGAGGTATGAGGCTGTTTGCACTTTTAGATGTCAGGACAGAATAAGTAGTTTTCAATATTGGACATTGACATAATCAAGAATACACATTCAAGCCTTTTTATTACGTCTGCTTAGGTCAAACTCCAGTCAGCCATTATTAGTCTTAGTGGCCTCCACTGCTGCGATGTTGAAAGATGACCCAAATAGGGGAACTCAGGTTACAAGTAAGCTTCAGAACAGTCAGATTCAGTCTTAAACTGCTGATCATCTGTGAGCTACGGCTGTAGATTCCATAGGTTGGAAAGTGTTATTTAGTGCAGCTAAAACTCTATTTTTATCGCACAAAACACTTAGTAGGTGTTATGTGGCGGTTAAACTCGCCTGGTTGCCAATGGAAACAAATGAATGCAGCCATTAAAAATCAGTTTACAGTGAGGCGCGTGGCCTAGCTTAACATGTATGGGCCTGGACACCTTTTCATCCACATCACATCTACTGTATGTCGATAACAGTATTTTACAGTATTAACATTTCTAAAGTCATTTAGTGACACCTGCACTACTACTGAGTATTTTGAAGAACACACTTGCTAATTTCTATGCAGGACATTTCTACTTCAAAATCATCAATTATGTCAATTGATTGATTTGGAGTATTATGATGTGCCAGTTAAATTTTGTGACCTCTGCAAGCAAATTAATAAAAAGACTCTTGACTCTTGTGTTTTCTCTCAAATATGTTGCAATTAACCCAATTGAAAAGGATGTTGTTTTCTTATGTATCATAGTAATATTTGAAGCACAATTATTACGTTTGACAGGACAATAATACTGATCTTCTTTTGTACATCTATAAATCATCAATAAACCAAGATGCAAACCGTCTGCATACAGAATATATGCAGTCTAACACCACAGTGTTTGTTGAATCTTGTATCAAACTGAATGTATACTACAACTGTGGAAGTAACATAAACTTACTTAGTCTAGTCTTGAGATGGTGACTTTAGGTTCTCCTTAGTTTGTCTTTGAGAGAAATTGACTTGGTTTGTAAACTTGTGTACAGTTTGGTGTTCAGTTAGTTTTTTTTTTTAAAGCACAAACAACAGTCTGTTTAAATTTAAAGCATTACTGATAATAATGCATAGGGGGCCTTATTTAATCAATAACCAGGACTGGAACAATTCTGTGTAATTACATTTAGGGGAATATGTTATTTGAGTGAAATATGTGACAGCTTGAGCAGAGCAAAAAAAGGTCTAAGAACAAGAAACATACACCAACATATTTCAGCTTCAAATGAACATTTATCATTTTAACTCTGAAACAGCTTTAAAAATGTAATCTTGAACAGGCACTAATGGACCCTTATGGACTGTAAATAAGATTAAGTCCAAAAAAAGTGCATGAAAACAATTTGGCCACTCACTGACAACAATTCAAGTGACAAAAGACTGAAGAGTTCCTGTAAGTGGTAACAGTTTGAGGAAGGAAGGAACTCAAAACAAAACTTAGTGCAGTATGGAGATATAACTTTGTTGTCACAATTAAGTTAAGCTTTCTTTATACTACAAGTGTCTTCAGACTTTTTCCCTTCTCCGTGCAAAGGAACAAAAATACAGACTCAGACATTCGCGTATACACAGAAATATAAACACAGTGGCACAATGTTTTGGTTTTTCCATTGTTGGTTGACAATAAAATATCTTCCATTTTAAGTAATACATACTAAACATAATAAAAAGAATACGTATCATTACCAAAATATTTAAAAAAAAATCTGAACGGCACAATTTAACAATTTCAACATCATAAATATTCAGGTAAAAAAAGAAACCTGTCCCCCCCCCTTTTTTTTTTTGTTAAATGAAAATGACACATTCCTGTGATACATCTTTTCTAACTGTACCATTTACAACTTATTTCTAGAAGCATTTCTATCACAGGCTGTAATCTGAGATTATTGGTACGGTTTTGTATTCCCACATCTAACCCTTCGCTTAAATATGAAGCCATAATCAATATAAAAATATACTGTTTGTATCAAATCTTAAAAATCTGTGAAAATCAAAAGAAGTCAGCCATCACTGTAAACACTGATCTCCATGTTCTGACAGCAGCTGCTGCTCATCTCCTCAGTGCTGAGACCACCTCCTTCATAGCTGCTGCTGCCTTTTGCAGCTCCAGTTGTTTCCTTTGTAACTCTGTAAAAGCAACACATTGTCATTTATAAGTCATTGTAGTTCATGATAAAAATGCCAGTGTTGAATTTGTAGATCTTTAAAAAAGATTCAGTATGTCACATTTTATATCTTAATGTCACTTTTCATGCTAGTGGTTTTGTCATCGCCCTCTCACCTTTCAGCCAATCACATACTTACATACATACTAGAGTAATAAAACCAAAAAGTTCTCTCTGATTCACCTATGTGACTGCACTTGTAAATAATGAAATAATTATAACCAATGAAAACATTCATTCATAATAATGAGTTTAGTTATATTAATTGCTTGATTATTTCACAAACTGATTGTTAATTTATACATATTTTGTTCATATGGTTATTATTTAATTACGGGTTCCATAGTACGAGTTATATAGCTAAATGTTGGCAGTTCAACTAAGATTGATTAAATTAAAATACTCAACGCCTTTACCTTCTAAATTACATTAAATACTTACTTATTTGCCATTTCAGTGTAGTTGGTAGGAATTTGCTTTGAGGAGCTCATGAGTCAGATGAAACACTACCACATTATACATTTGATTTTGCATTTCCTTAATGATAACAATGTTTTACTTCTCTAAAAAATGGAAGTCCTAAAATACATATTGTGTAACCTCAAATGAAAAACTCAATTAGACAGTTTTAGGAGCTAAAGATGGTATGTAAATATGTTACAAACAACGTTTTTGTCTCCATTAGTTACCACTAATGAAGCATACTGTGATGGAGATGAAAGTCTGGCTGGAGGGTGGCACCAAAAGAAAGGTCACATTGTTATCTAAATCAAAGGGGTTTAACCGCTCCAGGGTCCACTACTGAACAGACTCAGCCTACGAGGTTTCATCAGTCTAAATTACTTTGTTTACGTTAAATGTGTAACATTTAAAATATATAAGCAGAATTGGAATATAATTTCTATTGATGTATTTTCATTAGTTTTCCGCTATAGATGCCACTAAATCCTACACACTGGTCCTTTTAGAGTTTACTTTACCTTTCTGCTGCTTGGTCACAAGCTCTGGCAGTTTTCCAGAAGCCTCCATCACTCTTAGTGCAAGATCATAATCTGAGGAGAAAAGAGAGAGAGAGAGCTTTACATTTCAGAGTTTAAAAATGAATAAGGTGGAGGATCATGTAACCTCCCTCACCCTCCTGGCTCGCCCGGTCTGACTGAATTCTGCTGGAGATATCGTTCATCGCATTAACGAAATCGCCGAAGATGGCCTGCGTGCATCCTGCCGCGTTGCAGCTTTTCCAGAAGCTGGTGGAGTCGATGCCGGGCTCTGGGTCTGTGGGAAGTGCCGCGGGGGAGGAAGGGGAGGAGAGGAGGGACACACAGATGGTTTCAGGTGGATCTGGTGAACCAGTAACGCTGTAGGGTTTAGAGCGGTCAGGAGTGGGAGCGGGCCCGACGGAGTCTTGCTGTGGGACAGAGGGCCCAGCTGTGGGTTGATCAGGGACAGGTGTGTGGACAGGACTTCGCCCCGGACTGGACCCTGAGAAAAGAGATGGCTTTATTTGTTATCATGGTTTCAGTGACACCATTTGAGTTTTGAGTAATTCACCAAATTCAAATTACCATTTTGACCAGTAATCATACACAGTATATCACTATCTTTAATCCTTTTAATTATAATTTCAATCATACAATTCCTTCCACCTTTGAACAGGATTTATTTCTCTAGGGGAGGCAGGGTGCTTTTAACACTGCCTGCACTGGTCATTGATTTTAATTCTGTCTGGACCATGACAATTTTTCACTTACTTCATTACTTCATTCCAGTAATAATTACAGTAATTATAAACTGTAAGTGCTGCTAGTCCTCCTGTAATTTAAATCCCATCCAGAACTACATCTTTGTACTTAAAAGTGGAGCGGAGGACTTCTTTTCCTTTCTCTGCTCAGTGTGAGATTTGATTTTTGTGTGAAATTGGAGGAAGCGAAAATGTTTTTTGTTAACATGATTATGTTAATTTCAATGTATGCCCTATCTGGGAACCAATACAACATCCATTAAGAGAGCAAGAGTTCATCAAATGGGCTGTGCATGTGATTTTATTGACCAAGATAGAGTACTGATGGTTGTGATTAAAATCCATTCTCTACTGGGTCAAAATGTACCTTCACCGTGTCTCTTTACAACCTCCACCGGGAAATGTGCAGCTGATGCAGTCTGAGATGGGAGTGACTGGGACTCCATGCTGCTCCCCACAGGAGGCAGCAGACTCACTGACTCAGCATCCTGAGTTGAAGCAAACACATTTAATGTCAGCTGTGTTCTGCCAGTGGTGATAATTTATCATATGAGAATGAAAAAACTGTATCGATTCTGGGATTAAATGAGGCAGACTAATTCAAATTATCTTCAAGAAAGCACAATTTAACTTTGTGACTATCAGAGAGGAAGACCAAATCTGCTAGAGGACTAAGTGAGAAATTAGAAGAGCATGAATGTTCAACTGAGTATAAAGAAAAGATAATAGCATCATTTATAGCTGTTAAACAATCACACAGTTTGAAGGTAAGACATGTTTGACGCAATATGTAACAACTCACTGTTTCATCATCATCATCATCGTCATCGTCGTCTTTATCTTTATCTTTGCTCTCATCCTCCGGTTGGTTTCCTAGAGGAGACGGCACGACTGGGAAGAACGTGTATATTACTGCCTGTGTTGGCTACATTCTCTATATACACTGAATCTGCTGTGATGGCCTACCTGAGGGGGACCCGGTGGGACTCTGGGTAGCTTTACTGTGAATGGAGAAGACAATCCTGTAATGTTATTTGTACACTAGGTGACCACACCAAAGAGAAACAGTACATCTTAATTAGGGAGGAGCGAGTACACCCGTTATCTGTCGACTGCAACTATGACTTTTCTGATCAATAGATTATTGTAGTAAGTGTTTGTTTAGTCAATACAATTTTAATCGAAAGAGCGCCTGAGAGCCTAATATGACAATTAAAATTATTAATTTTCTTTTGATTAAACAGTTATCAAAATATTTGATGATTTTTGCCAAATGTTTTGACAACTGAAAAGCAACTCACTCACTAGTGAGGTGTTTCTGGTATTTTTGTTCCTTCTAATATGTACAGTAACTGAGGTGAACAAAACATAACCCAGAAATGGGTCGAAGGGGCTTCAACAAAAACTGAACATTTTCAGAGCTATTATTATTGCTATATTGCATTACATTATACAGGATGTTCATTTTTTAAGGTGATTATTGAAAAATGATTACATGTTGTAAATATTTATCTCACCTGATCAACTGGCGCGCAGTCTAAAAGGAAGAAAATAAAAGAAAGAAAAGTGAAGATCTGATAGTTGAACATCTGCAGCCTCTAATGATGATGTTACTGAGGAATAATCAGATATTAGACTTACCTGGGAGTTTGCACTTTCATCTAAATCACACTCTATAGGGCCGAATATCGCTATGTCTGCATTAGGTTCACTGTCATCTGAAGAAGAATGGAAATATCAAATAAATCTCATTGTTACCTCTCATTCATACATACTGTAGATTACATTCACTAATGTATTGTATGAGTGGGTTAACCTGAAGAATCCTCTGTTATTATCCCATTCCAGCTTTCAGCTTTACGTTTAGAGGCGCTCTCTTCCTGTCTGTGACAGAGGAAAGAGATCAGGCTTTAGAACAACACAGCACGAAGTGATAAAGCTGTAAGACACAAAAACCCAAAATCAAACTTGTCATGATTATTGGCAAATATTTAAACTGTCCACCACTGAAAACAGTTGAGCTATAAGGTACCTTAGAAAAAAACAAAGAATACTGCATCACTTGTACTCACAAACACACACACACACAAACACACACACTATTTAAAGACTTGATGTGTAACAGAAGGCTGTTCATGGCATCAGTGTAAAACAAGGAACTTGTGGCTACATTGAGGCACATTATAAGAATACACACTGGTATTATAGTTATGCTATATGGTATTTCTCATTGTTATCTTAGGAAACAAGTATGGAGAAGCATACCCACTGATAATATTGTACATGTTGTTAAATACCAAATATTATTAATTTGCAGTACCTGCAGTTTACGGTATCAATGATGATACGAGATGTTTCACTACTACACTACTAATATTTTCACAGCAATATATTCACAGGAATGTGGGACAGTATTTTATCCTACACAACTGTCTTGTGAAAAGACAAGAAGTGCATTATAACACATTGGTAATAAAAAATAATCATTTGAGTTGTAAAAATGGCTAAAAGCATGAGAAGCTGCTCACTTCTAAACTAAACTGCTAAAAATGTGAACACTGAAAATACTTGAAGAAAGTAAACTTACTTGTCACTGAAACTCAACCGTCTCTGTTTCAAAAGCAGAAACAGAATTATTAAAATCACAAAACCATTGAAAGAAAATAACCTTTTTTTAAAAAAAAAAAACTTTATTTGAAGTGACAATGAATAATATGTTGTGGAGGTGGGTGTGGTTTGCGCTCAGCTGCAGGAGAGAGAGGT